ACTACTATTCTTTCTTGTAGTGAGGATAATCACAGGTCTTATTTTATCCTTTTGTAAATGAATATCATCATTTTGAGCAGTTATGTAGTCGGTTATATTCTGTAAATTTATTTCTTCCTCAATGTTTCTCACAACAACACGAGGGTTCATTTTATTTATTTTATGGTATGATATTTTTCTTGAGCCTTTTATAGTTTGAGCAATTTCGTTGAGATCTTTCTCCCTGTCGGTCTGTATTATTAATGATCCGTTTTTTGTTTCTACAACCTTTTGAAAACTTATGTGTAAATCTTTTGGATTTACTAAAGACTTAAATTCGTTACAAAGTTCATTCGGTTCTAATGATATTTTAGGTTTAATAATTGCCTTATGGGCTGTTCGATTTTGTGCTTTCATTACAACCCTTTGGGCAACTGCTGAGTAACTAATTTTGTTATTTAAAGAGAGGTTGTCTTTTTTAATAACCTCCCCGATTTCCAAACTAAATGATTGGTCACAAAGATTACCTACATATTTTTCCATCACTTCGATAGCTTTTCCGACCTTCGGTCGCAGGTCTTTTCTCAAGAGATTGTAATCCAAAACCTCCTTTAAAGTCTTGATAGCGTAATTTAAATCCAATACTTCACCGGCCATTTTGCTGGAGACCTGCTTGTGATGAGACTGAAAACTTCAATATAAATATATATATATTGAAATATATACTCTTTGTGTTATGGAAACAATGTTTGTCTAAAGTCGTTTAGGATAATTTTTTTTATGAGTAAATGATATCATTATTGATTTTACGAGCTATTTTATATAGGTAATCAATATTGGAAGAGTTCGATAGTTTAATTGAACTTCGTCATTTATACCTAAATCGGTTTGTATTCCAAATTGAGACAGATCTGTGGCGTTACTAGAGGTAAGTAAGAAGGCTGAAAAGAAATTCAATAATTCACTAGTTTTACCAATAATTAATCTTTGTTTTGGAGTGAATCTTGAAGGCGTGAATGAAAAATATTCCTTACTGTTAAAATAAGGGCGATTCTAAAATTAAGTTAATATATTTTATCACCAAGTACAGATGCAACAAAGTAAATAATAACAATGACTAATCAATCTAACAAAATATTTTTTATTATTTTCTGTTGGCATAATAAACCTTGTAGATATTTTGCCGCCTTAATTAGCGTTTTCCATCTCCATTTATCTAGAGTAATTTATTTTGATCTATCTGCATGTAGCTATATTGTATTTATGTTGATTCAATCTATCCAACTACTTTTGGCCTTCTATGTAGTCTCCTGCCTACTATTGAACTATTCAATGTTATTTAGAACCTTACGGATGGATTATATGCTCCACCAAACTTAACCTCTTCGCCTCCATATTATGAGATATTGATTGACTACTTACTGTAAGCAGGCCTTTCTTGGCCATTCTCCTCCATGCGTTAATACTCCGATTCCAGATCACTCGGTTTATCATGTGGATAATTTATCTTTCAATACTTCTTTCTAGGATGTTGGTTAGAATCAAGGTCTCGCAGTCGTATATCAAAACTGGCTTTAGAATAGCAAATTGTAATCATCTATTCCAAAAAAAAAAAGAAAAAAAGAAGCTTATTACAAAAACTGATACGAACCTAACAAAATACATAAATGATTTTTTTTTTATCGATTATTTGGTTTATTATTTTATAAAACATTGACCGCTAAGATGGAGCTACATTTTAGCTATTACTCAGATAATGGGAAGAAAATTTCCAGAAAAGCTAAGTAATGATACACCATGGAGCAGCTGGTAGCAGAATGAATTGTTAACTCTTCGAATTATCTCAAATCGTTCCGAAATCAGGACAAGGCGTCATTCTGGTATAAGCCCAATAGAGTTAACAGCTCTCTAGCACTCTCGGTCCATCGTTATAAACACGAATATTTCCATAGCATAAAAAATATAAAAATAAAACTACAGGCACTTAAAATGTGGGACTGGAGGCAGTTGAAGTGGTTGTATTACTTTGGATGGTGGCCCGCTGGAGCTAAGACAGAATCAGGATATAAGATTAACAGGTAATAAAGTAAGATTAACAATTAAAGACGAAAATATACATGGCATACCGTAAGTAGGAGGAAATATTTACAAGAGTTAGCAGAGCTCAAGAACTACAAAAAATTTGATATAAACATTGGTCCGATTTTCGGAAGAAAAGTAGGAAATGTAAGTTTTGATTTTTTTTAAGTGCCATGTTTATTGTTAAAAGGAAGGGATGACTAAAGAAATATTTAATTTAAGTAATTAAAAATTGCTTTAATGTAAACTAAGTAAAATTTACTTCAACTGGAAATAGAGTTTGCCATTTTCGAAACCATTACAAGAGTACTTTCGAACGGCTAAACCAAGCTAAGTTCTCTTTAAAAAAAACAAACATAAATTATCCGCTTTTTTTTTTAAATTTATTTTTATCATTATCCAACTATAATACAGATACTATACACTTTACTATAGATATTATATAGATATAGATATTATATAGATATTATATATATATTATAGATATTATATATATATATATATATATATATATATATATATATATATATATATATATATTATATAGATATTATATATTATATTAGATATATTATATTAGATATATTAGATTATTATATTAGATATATTAGATATTATATATATATATATTATAGATATTATATATATATTATATAGATATTATATATATATATATTATAGATATTATATATATATTATAGATATTATATAGATATTATATAGATACTATACTATTCCACTTTTAGAAAAACTTCTTCGTTTAATAAGCTTAAGGCCCATATTAATTAAGTTGTGGTTTATTACGCAAAAACTTGAGATTCCAAACTTTCTAAAAATTTCATCTATTGTTTTGGAGAATGGTGAGTAATTTAAAGATATTTAAAATAACGAAAAATAAAATTTAGTCAATTTTACTTCACACTAAAATAAAGAGTGGCACTAATAAATAGAATAAAAAGAAAAAAACTATCTTGATTCCATTCACGTTTAATATTTTTTTTAACTATCACCAGTATATATACTTAAGAATATGCAATTTTACTGTATATTACTGAAAATATATACATGTAATGCATGAATACATATCGCCCAATAAATGGATGATTAAAATTGAAATTGAAATTACATTTTTGAAGTGTTATACTTCTAAATATAGGCAATAAATAGTAACTTTACGACAATCCAATAGAATCTCAGAAATAAAACAAATCTTTTTGATCTATAGAGCTTATGGAGTATCTTTGTTCATATGGGACTTTATACAAATCGTCCCAGAAGTTGCCGCTTTGTACATAGCTTTGGCACATGGCTCTCTCAAAGGTGCCGTTCTAAACCTAAATACTGTTTTAATGGGTGGAGTTTGTGGTATCAAAATAACAGGCCTTCTTCTAAATGAGGATAATATTAGGTGGATAATTGCTAAGTTGGAAGGTAAGTCGTATGTAATAATTAACTCTACTAAGATAAAATTGAAATATATAAAAAAGACATCAACAGTGATTCTATACCTATAATTCAGATCACAGGCGGGTCTACGAGGGAGGGGAGAGAGCTTTCGGGCTGAAGCCCTCTCAAAATGATAAAATGTAACCATGTTTTATGGAAAAAATGTAAAAAAAAAAATCTCTTAAAGTATTATTGTTCGTGTAATAGGACATTTAATAGGACTTCAAGATTCACTTAAACACCATTTCATATAGGTAGCATCTTTCTTTTTTTTGCAAAGTAATTAATTATCTTTATATATACGAAAAAAAAATCTTTCGGGCTGAAGCCCCTCCCAAAATTAAATCCTGGATCTAACTCAATAGTGACTCAGATTGATTAACAGTTATAGTTATCTATACAATCTTTAGCATTCATGTAACCAGTTTTAAGTATTGTAAACCTCTTGAATGTGTAAAGTCGAAAATTATTTAAGAAATATATATATATATCTTAAGATATGAATAATAGTCTAATAATAGGTCATGAATTTTTTTTTATTTCCAATTCAATTTCATGACGTTTATTTCCAATTTCATGACCTATTATCCGACTATTATTTATATCTTTAGTTATAGTATATAAAGGTCGAATTATAAAAAAACATTGTAATATTATATATAAATATGTATATATATTTTTTTCTTCAAATTTCCTTATAAATTTATGGTTGTCAAATGAACAAAAAATAAATTAAAAAAATATAAATAATTTTTTTTTAATGGCTCTTGAAACCAAAACGTTAAAAGATAACGTTTAAACGCTTGCAAAAATGTTATAAATATTTAATAAAAGACTGTGAGATTAAAAAGGGTTTGATAAATAATTAATCATATATAGATTAAATATAACACAATCAACATGTTAAACACAAGTTAGCACAAGTGGAGGTTTGGTAAATAGGTGTCTAACTGTTTGACACCACCACACCTCAAGCATTTATCACAAATCATGCGAATACCCCATTAATATTTTAAATTATGTTGTACTTGTGAATTATTAAAAAGTAGGAAAAGCTGTTCCTTGGATTATAAATAGAGAGGCAGAAAAACCAAACCGTACTAAATCATTTATGCTAATGTACTTGTTTAATAATGTCAAGTAGTTGTTTTTATTAGTTTAGTTTCTTTTTGTTAGTTTATATACATTTACTTTTAGTATTATTGTTTTTTATGTATTATTTATTTTTATTTATTATTGATAGAGCGTGAATGTGCTCTCTGAACACTATTATAAATGTGACAGATTGTAATATCTCTCAATAAATACAATTAAAAAATTAAAATAAAATAATAACATAATTATTTTTGAGCTCTTAAAAGAACAAAAACTATACTAAAAAATCATGATTTGTTTCTGAAATAAGCCATCAGAGCTTGACTACTTTATTTTAGTAGTTTTTTGACAACATAGTTTATATGATTGTAAAACGTATATTTATGTTTTGTTGATATTAACTAAAAAACAATAAAATGTTTAATTTTAGAAATGGAAATCAGAGCAAAGAATGTTCTTGGAACCGATGAATACGAACAGATGTCGGACTACAGAAACAAACGCTGCGAACGCCTTGTCATATTCGTATTCGTTTATCTTTCAGGTTTGGTCCAGTGGATAATAAGACCTATATACGAAATTTGCAATGGCAGAACGGTAAGGATATATATTCAAAAAATAATAATAATTTTCCACTTATGTAATTGGGTTATATTTATATTATATATCTTTATACATTGTATATTGTCTGGTTATCTGCATATTGTACCTTCAGAGGTTCCCAAAAGGGGGTTTATGGCGTAAATTGCGTCATCAAAATTTATGAGGGCCCATTGTTGACGGGGTTTTCAATTTTTGAGGGGAGAACATTTCGGCGGGGTTATGAATTTTTAAAATGAAAAGTTTCGAATCAAAAGACAAGTGGAAGCACGGAACAGAACGCAAGATGTGTCAGTATATATAATATACGGATATTTAAATTCTAGTTTCGTTTCCACTGTTTTTAAGAAGAAGAGAACAATAAAATATCTTGGGAGGGGTGGAGAAAGGTTTACGCATCGTTGGTCTTGGGGAGGAGGGGTAAGGGGGAGGGTACCCTTGTGTACCTTCAAATAAAAATTAATCATCACTATACAGGATGAATGGCCAAACTCCGGAGGGTGGTTCTAGACAAAATTTCCAACAAAAATGTTTAGCCGATGAATGGGCCGATTCCGAACGAAATAGGAGTTTTTTTTAATTTAGATATTTACTCAACTGTACTTGTTGAGAAACTACCCACTGGGAGTCCTCTAAAAATGTATTTACAACAGGAGATCTCGAGGCCATCATCTTTTCAGACGCCTCGGAGGGTTGTCGGAGATCGAAGAGGAAGTAAGGTTAGAAACGAGAGGGTTTGGATGGTTCTGAAGTTTGTCAGGTATCTAGAGATAGGTATCTAGATTGGACTATATAGGAATTAAGAAAATATTTTTTTTTTTTAATGTGGTTACGTTTTCTATGTAAACAGAAAGAATTTCTCAAATACTGTTGAAGATAATTGAATTGTAAATGCACCATCGTAGAGTAGACAATTTTTTTTTAAAGGAAATAGTGATCAAATTTACTAAGGTCAATGACAAAAGGTAGTTTCAGGAGGTCTAATAACGCAAAGAGGCATAGCTCGTTAAATCAGAGGTTTCTCGCGTATTAAGTTATTAAAGGATTTATTTTGAAGAGATAAGAATGTTAATCAGGGTCAGATAATCGTTTAATATTCCCCACTAATTAATGGTGGAATATAATAATGATGGAAGGAAAGGAAAGTCAAATTACTTATAGTAAATTGATAGTAAGGGAGGCATTATTGAAGGAGACAAATGAAGATCAATATTTATTTTTACAAAAATACATCTTACGTGAATAAAAAGGTATGACTGTATTTCAATGTTTTTAATTTACTTATATTTAGATTATTTTATTTTTTTATTGTATATAGTTTTTATTTATTATTATTTAGTTATTATTTTACTTTTGTTAATTTTGTTTATTTTTTGTATATACGGTTTGACTGTGTTCATTTATCAATATAATTATTGTCCCTGTGACAGAACATTATATGTATAAATAAATAAATAAAAATAATTTAAGTACTTGAACAAGAGAATGACTTTTTATCGTTAGTTATTGTTTAAGGTTACGAATGCCAGTTTATTAGAGGCGAACATTTATAAAATTCGGAGGAATTAATAAAAAAAGTTGTAACATGGAACGTTTTAAAACTTCAACTTTAACGTTGTGGTTCATGATCAATATATATCAAATTTACAGGCCTTCCTCACATAATAGATTTTATGCCGACCTCATAAAATTTAATATCATCCTACAGTATTCCTTCATAGAGAATAAAATTTCTATATTTTCGCAATCCCCTAACTATTTTACTATCAAGAAATTCACTTTACTTCCATCAGGATTGGTTTATATTTTTTCAAATACAATGTTTCAGTCATTTTGTTGAAACTCTTGTCGCTTCATCTCTGTTAACTTATATGGCTTAGGGCTATATATAAAAACAAATAAAATATTCTAACAAGAAATACACCATTCAACGAAATAAAGTTAAAATTTATTATTAAAAAATTATGTTCCGATTATAAAGTGCCAATGGAAGCTTATGAATAACAACAAATTTCTGGTTGGCCAATTTCCTTAAAGTCCGTTTAATTTGAAGTAATCAAATGACTCTTATTAGACTAAAAGAGAAAAATGAGAAATGTTTTTTCACGTTGAAGTAAATTTTTGGAAATGAAAGAAGCAATATAATCTATCATTGAAAAACTGATAATTTAAAATAGAAATATAAGTATATATGTGTGTGTTTGGGGGGGCTGGGGTAACCTTGCTGGCTAAGGAGCTTCAATAGATAATCAAAGTTAAACAACGCCGAGCGTGGCTAGCACTTGGATGGGTGACCGTCCCCAAAGGAAAGACACGCTGCCCGAGGTTCCTCCCTCCGGGTATGTGAGGACCGTCAGTTTACTGGAGGCAACTCACACCGACTAAGTGTAGGATTGATGAACCTACTCCGTACTTTAAATGGAGAATCGGGAAGTGGTCTAGGAGACCACACTCGCGGTCAAAAATCAAAGATCTTCATGGTCTGTAGCGCCAACCGAAGAAAAAATAAATATATATATATGTAGATATATATAATGAGTAAATTCGTAGTCAGACGAAAAATTAATGCCTAATAATTTCCACTTTAATATTATTTAACGGAATCTAAATAATCCCTTGGAAGCTAAATTGAATTTCTAGAGAAACTCAAAATTTATTTAAGTTTAGTTTAAACTAAATATTCGACACGCCGGATAACACCACTGAGATTGTTTAAAATATATTTTATTATACTTTTGTAAGAAAAGACATGAACAAGTGCATACTATTAAAAATGTGACAACAAGTTTTGACAACTGAGAAAAATACATGGCTGTAATCTTTGTAAACTATATCATAGTGTAATAACTTATGACCTGATAATAGATTTTAAAACTCACTAGCCCTGTTAGAGAGAACATTAATATTCACTGAAAGTTAGGCGCTAACTGAATGTTGTTTTATGCGCACAATATATTTGTTTTATTTTTTAAAATTTAATTTTACATTTTCAGCGCAGAATCGTTCATTTGTGTATGCTAAATATAAAATTTAAGATATTTTTATATACTGAAGATAAAAGTTGTTAAATTTTCAATAACATTATAATATTTATTAAATGTTTTAAAAACATAAAATATTTGTTTAACGTTTTAATGGATATCGTCATATGAAGTCTAACACTACCAAACTTAATTTTTGGCTAAAATGAGTAAGGTCGTTCAATTGATCTTCACACCAAACTAGTGGCAAACATGTATATGACAAGTGTATATCCTCAACAGTAATATGTCTGTGCCACCCGAGCAAAACGTGTAAAGTGAAAAAATCATATTTATGTCAAAACGCAATTGGAATTTTCGAAGGTTCAATTTTTTATTTTTCAACCATGAATCACAAAGGAATCTTCGTCTCTAAAATAGCCGCATAAATTAGCTCATTAGACTTAAATAGAAAAAAAAAGCTTTCTAATGGTACCCATAGAATTCACAATTTTAGTATATGTATCACCAAAGCGGTCCTAAATACCAATCATGAGGCTAAATGAGAGGCGCTGGGAACTCCTCGGAGGTCTTGAGTGAATCAATTTTGTAAATAATGTACTAAAGTATGTGTGTATTTAAGTAGTTATTTTGCTTACTTTAGTTCCTTTTGTTTAGTTAGGTATCTTTTATTCAGTTTAGTTTCTTTTGTATAGTTCAGTTTCTTTTATTTCGTTTAGTTTAGTTTCTTTTAGTATTATTATTTTGCCGTTTATTTATTGGACATAAAGTGAGGATGAACCACTCTTCTATCACTCTATTGTCCTTAGATGTGATATATTTTAATATTTCTCAATAAAAAGATGAAATCACAAAAGTACACTTGACACACTTTTCACAGGTGACGTAGGTATTAACTCGATATATCTGTTATTCATACGTTATCTTTTTATTAATTAAATAATAAATATATATAAATGTTATGTAGGGTATGATCATAGAAGCTTGGATCCCATGGGACAAAGATACCATATACGGCTGGGCAATCGTCTTTATCCTCCAGTTCGTCCACGTGACGACGGCTATCATGGCGCTTATCATAATCTACGTCCTATACCTGTCCATTGTGGAGATGATTCTGTGCCAGATAGAGGTGCTCCACTGCGCCCTTAGGAAATTGGATTTTTCGCTTCCAGGGGCTGATCATCACCCCCCTATTACTCTCAGATACTGCGTTCAGCAGCATCAAGATATTTTATCGTAAGCATTTTTTCAATCTTTAGATTATATAAACATGTATATATATATATATATATATATATATATATATATATATATATATATATATATATATATATATATATATATATATATATATATATAAATAACCAAACCCGTTTCAGATTGTGTCATAGATTCTATAAGGTGGTGCATGTAATGCTTTTCGTTTTTATCATGTTCAGCACTGTGGTTCTCTGCCTGTCTGTCTTCGAGTTATCATCAGTAAGTAACAAGTAGATTGGTTGATATATTTCCTATTAATTAAAAAAACAAACAATATATTAATATTTATTATGTATTAATTCAATATTTATAACGAACCAATTTACTTTATCATTTGGACAGAAATCAATGACAGACTGAAAGCTGTGTAGATTTGCATACTTAGTGGGGAAAAAAGAAAAGTGACTGTTAAAATAAACAAAACTTTCAAGATTATTAACATAATACGTAGTGTTGCCCAAAATTGGTCTTGGTCTTGCACTTTGCATGATCAAGACCAAGGCCACCTAACTGTTGCAAGACCAAGACCAGGACTGGTAAAAAAAATCGATTTTAAAAATAAAAATTAAGGCAAAATAGTTGCTAGTACTTGAACATATTAGTTAGTACATGTTAGTAATTGGTATAACCAATATACTTCTGCATTTAACTCCTCTAATTTTTCATTCGGCCTTAGTTAGGTTTCTCCTATCTAAAAAAATACAGTAATATCTCTATAGTAATAAGCTAATATGTAACTGCAAGACTGTTGCGAGACTCGCAAGACCAAAACTCGTATCAGTCTCGCATTTGGGCAACACTAATAATACGGGTGTCCCGTAAGTAGAGGAAGTTTTTTATAAAATTGATGGCAGACCTATAGACTAACAAAAAAGGTCATACAAAAAATAGGACAATTTTCAGCAGAAAATAAGAAATGCAAGTTTTGTGTTTTGTTGAATTGGAAGCGGTAAAAAAAGAAATATTTTATTTAATTAATTCACAATTGCTTCACTGTAAACTAGACAAAATTTTTCAAGAAAATTGTGTTTGTCATGGTTAAAACTATTTTAAGAGGACTTTCCAGTGGCTAAACTAAGCTAAATTCTGTTTTTAAAAAAGTCATAAATTATTTGTGATTTTTTTTTATCATCACCAACTGTACCGTAGAAACCTCACTTCTACAAAAACTTCTCCGTTTCATAAGCTTCAAGTTCATATTAATTAAGTTATGGTTTATTAGACAAAAATTGGAGATATTAATTTTCCTACTTTTCTACTGGAAATTGGGCAATTGTTTATATGAACTTTTTTGTAGATCTTGATGTCTAATATTAATGTTTTAAATATTTTCCTCAACTTAAGTAACAAAATGCATATATGGGTTCTGTAGTTTCCTCCAATATTAAACGAACATTTAAAATTTAAAAAAAAATATATAAATGGATTCCGTTCATATAAAATCATTTTTCAAATGAGTAATAAATAGTGGAGAGAGCTTAATTAAAATATGTTTCATTTACGATAATTACCAATATTTTTACTTTATTTTTTACCAATACGATAATTGGTAATTACCCATTATAACACATAGCATAAGATAGCTTATAGTAAATTATGAAACCATTTATTCGAACGCAAGTGATTTTTTTCACTTGATTAATTTAAATACTATGCAAAGTTCAGTTTTTCACAACACAATAAATTATTCGAGATTTTCATTAGTTTATTTTTATTTTTTTTATCAACTTTCAACTAGACTACGTATTATACACGTTTAGAAAAAAAACTCCATGTTCAATAATCTTTGAGTCCGTCTTAATTATTTCTGAACAAAAGTTAAAAGAGACATATCTCAAAGTTCGTAATAAAAAAAAAACATGTAAAATTCTTTTCACTCAAAAGTTTGAGAAACTATTACAAGGCTGTTTTCTTCTTTTTCCTTCTATTAGCTGGGTTATATTTTGATAATTTAAAAATTAAAACTTTTTTATTTTAAGAATATATGTAAAATAAATTAATTTATTAGTTGTAATCATTGATATATGTGTTCCCTTGAAGGCATAAAGATTTACATGATGGCTAAAATAATAATATTCAACAATAATATTAAATATTACTTATATTTAGCAACCGCGAATATATCCATATAAATGTCTACAGTTTGAAAATTTGTCCTATCGACTCAGAGCTCCAAACTGCCTAAAAAGATTATGGCTCCTGACCTTGTATAAAATAGTCAATGGGTAATTTCCTCAATGATACTTCAATGCAAGCCACGTTTCTTCTATAAAATGGTGGACAAGAATTTTTCTATAATTTTGAAGAGGGTAATACTAAGCAAATTTGGTTATTCTTATGATTAATTACTATATTTATAAATGTTTCGGGCTCTTCAACCACCTGGGTCATTTTCGCCCTACATTACAATTGGATCAACTACTACATAGGTATACATAACAAAACTACAGCTAACAAGTACAATGTTTTGATTATTGTAATTGTATATAAAAGCTGTTAATTCGAACTCTAATTGTCTTCATCTTAAGAAAACCAATAATATGTATTTGAGAAAATCTATTATAAGCTTATATTTTTTCAAACTCCTCTAAAAAATATGTCAGATAATTTCATAACTACTGCGGTTGTACGTCAATTCAAATTCTTTTAGTTATTTTTCGTATTGAAAGAATAAAATAAGCAATATATTATTTCATTACTAACAAGAAAAAATAAATCATTTTACTGTGGAGAGGCGGATAAAACTTTTCTTTTTGTTATTTTATGTATATATGTATACATTTATGTATATGTCTCGAAATATTTACAGAAAAATTGCAGCAACTTTAAAATGGCAGCTATCAAAACGGGAGATCTTATTAACTTGACCTATGTTTAAAAAAATAATCTTATTCAATTTTTTTTTTCAATTTCAAATTTATTTCAATAAAATTAATAAATGATTTATTCATAGTTTAAACATATAATAGTTGTTGCAATAATTAACAGTTCGGACTATACTGATGTATAAATATCAACTTTCTTTTTTTCAGATCAAGGATACTACCTTATTTAAAGTATCTAACCTTTTGGAACTCACTTTGAATACAGTATTTTTAATATTCCTATACTGTTTATATTTCAATAACACCGTGGACGAGGTGAGAAAACACGTCAAACTTACAAAATTTAGTTATACTACAGATATATTTGATTGTTTTTTTTAAGTATCTTTCTAAAATATTATAATCTTGATCTATCTTTAGATCATCTTTCGTAGGTTCATTCGATTATCAGCAATGTTAATCGTGAATGTTTAATTATGAATTTCATAATGTTTAATATCGATTTTCTTTAAAGGTAGTTACTTCATTTATCCTCATCAAAATGTTGCTGAATTTTATGAATCACATTACGCTTTTAAAAATATTTACAACGTTACTGGATAATATTTTCCAGATGACAACAGGGACGCTGAGAGCCGCTTACAGTAACAATTGGTACCTGGGCAGGGAAGAAGACAAGAAGTCGTTGGATATTCTTTGCACCATGTCCAGGAAACCGTTTGAATTCGGTTTTATTATACCAGCTAATTTGGATACCTTCGTAACGGTAGGCATTACTACGTTTCTGTATTGGTATGAATCTATTGTAAACATCATACTAGGTATAAAATATACAATACTATATTATCACACATGCCACGAAATCAATAAAATAATACTAAAAAAATTAATTTAATATTGTTTTAGACATTTATTCAGAAAAAAATTGGATTATTTAAAATATCCATAATTAATATACTGTTTAAACTCTCGTCCCTCAATGCCATGAATAAAATGGATATTTTAAATAAATAATCCATTATAAATTATGGATTTATTCTAATTACATTTAAATAAATGTTTTTAATTTATTCAATAAAACAAACCCGTGTTAATTTACGTTTTATTCTATTTCAGGTACTCAAATCAGCTTTTTCCTATTACAACTTTTTGAAAGCCATTGCTGATGAAGAATAATTTAAATATAGTAATGATAATTGAAAAAAAAAACAACAAGAATTGGTAGTTAACTTATTTTAAAGTTAAATATTAGGAATAAATATGTCACATAACTATTCTTAAAATAATAGAAATAATAAATAATATAAAATCAATTAGATTTTTTCTCGTACCCTAGTGATAATAAATAATAATATATTGTCGCATTTCTCTTAAACATAAATAAAGTGAGTTTTTTAAAATATATTTTTACTTCCTTATCACTGAAGGCAGGTAAGAGTTATATTTGTGAGTTAGGTTAAAAAAGAATATTCTCACTCAAAAGTCTCATTGCGTTTTGGACAAGAAGGAATAAATTTAGTTAGTCTATCTGTATCCAAAAATGTGTCATATTGCCTACTACCACTAATTTATATTTTTTTGAAACTTTAATAAATTGAGCGGGTTAGTGCATAAATGTTTCAATATAGGTTTCAGGGAATTACAGACACTACTTTAGCTTATGCTTATAAATATATATCATAAACACACATACACTTTCAAAACGAGTTGTATAATTTGTGAGGATTAACAAATGAGTTCGCAACATTACTATAATGATGGAAAAACAAGTGTGTAGTGATTGAAGTTTTTGCAGAAACAGATAGTTCTAAAATGAAAAGTCTTGGGCCTTATAACGTTGCTCAATGGTCGGAAGAGGCATAAAAACGGCAAAAACCCGGGGAAACTTTCGATTTAAACAAGATATTTGAAAAACTGAATTTATTATAGCATGTCGGGCATTCTGTACTAATATACATAAAACTTTTTAGGTAAGACCAACCGTTATTATTATTGCTAATTTTTTTTCAATTATATATAAAATATATTAATATGTTGTAAAAGTGAAAATTTATTTTATAAAGTTATTGACAGAATCAATTATAAATATCTATTACCTGTATTACTGTCAAGAGAATATAAGAAACATATGAGAACAACTGAATGAAGATAAAACTAAATACATGGGGTGGGGAGCTAAAAACATTGCCCCAGTAACAATTATGAGTCACGAAATTGTTTGGAATTTATCTTCAATATTTTTCTTCGTATTTTCTTTGTTTCTATACTTTTACTCCAGTTTGCTATGACGGAAAAGAGTTAATTATGTTAGGTATAAATAACAGCTGATTTTTTTATTCATTAGTAGCAAGGAGTTAAAAAAACATTTTAATTACAGTAAGATCTTGGCGTTCGTTGGGGCGAGGTATTTTCCGAAGGAAGCAGCAAATTCCAGGATCCGTTGAGGGATACGATTTTTTTTTAATTTATTTAGAAATAGCTTATTTAAGAACTTATATGACTCATTTCAAAAAATTGTACAACAAAAAAATATTTTCAGAATTCAGCATAAAATATAGTTAATGATTTATAACAAACAAGTTGCATGATTAATGCGGCAGAAACAGGCTTTTTACTTATATTTTATTGAATATCTTGGAACCGGTGTTTTTATTCGTGCCTAAACATTATGAATGTATGAGTTAACTATGTCAGACAATTAGTGTTGCCCAAATGCGAGACCGAGACGAGTCTTGGTTTTGCAAACTCAGTCTGTTCATGGTCTTGGTCTTGTGAGTCTCGCAACAGTCTTGCAATTACTTATTAGCTTATTACTCTAGAGATGTTGCTGTAATTTTTTAGATAGAAGAAACCGAACCAAGCCCTAATGAAAAATTAGAGGAGTTGAATGCAAAAGTATATTGGTTATACCAATTATTAACAGATAGTAACTAAGATTGTCAAGTTTTAGTAACTATTTTTCCTTAATTTTTATTTAAAAAGTCGATTTTTTTTACCAGTCCTAGTCTTGGTCTTGCAACAGCTAGGTGGCCTTGGTCTTGGTCTTGAAAAGTGCAAGATCAAGACCGATTTTGGGCAAAACTACAGATGAAAACATAGAAATTTGAATTATCATAATACACTAGAAATAGGGGATTTTGCCGCATTCAGACCACTGTACGTCGTTTTACAAAAACGTCAAATAGAAATCTGTGAGCGTAAAATAATTTCCTGCAAAATCGGCTCCTAGATGTCAGAAGAAATGGGGTGGGGAAAGTATAATTAACGCCATGTAAAAATGAAATAAATATAGAAACGAAAATAAACTTCACGGATCTTAATAGTTCGTTCCTTAAATTTTATTGGTAATCCTGCAATCAATCGAGTAGTTGCATTTGACGAAAAGTGGTTGGCGTGCAGAGCGGTTTCGACGGTGTGCCAATATCCGGGCTGCTAAAGGCTGGAATTAAGTCCCAGAAGAGGAAGTATAATCAAGCACAAGGGAGCAGAGCCAATTTTGAAAATAAATTTGCGTTACGTTCCTGACTGATGAAATAGTAATACGAACTTATTTCTTGGAATGAGCAGTACACGTAATTTCTATTGTCGCTGCGATAACCCAACCACTCAGCAAAAAGAATAATGTGTTTATGATAAGCTAACAATTGCAGCCCAGAAGCCAGGACTTAAATGTTGTATTGGTAGTAGGGTAAAACCCCCAGTTTTCTGCACCTTTCAGGAAACTTTAAAATGTGTTTGTCCCGTTTTCAATCGCGTGTGTACTTGGTTCAACAATTTCAGTTATGTCAAGTCAATCAAGATCTTTAATTACAAAATATATACGTGAAACAGAGTCTTTCATTTACTTTTTTTTATCGTAAAATGGAAAAATGGAAAAATATCCGTATGGGGCAGTTTTCGACACCATTTTTCCAATTTTCGCCACTCTGAAGTTCCAGTTTTCGTCACTCCTTATCCAATTATCATAAGCTAAAGAATTAAATCAGGCAGCCTCTACGGTGCATCCAAGGAAATGAGGTGAATGATCACCATACATTAATAATTATTAATATACGTTAGAGACGAAAGGATTCGGATGGTTCCTCCGGATGATTAAAGTTTTTCATGGAAGGATTAGTATCTGGATTGCGGCAAATCGGAAACATAAGGAACATTGAGGCCGTTATGGATTATTTTATTGGTGACAAAGTAAGGAGCATTGAGGATTTTACGAAGGATTTTGGACTATAAGGATTGGATAAACGAGGAATTCGATGGTTTAGTGGAGCCTTATAGCTCAACTCCGTAAGTCCAAATAGGTATTAGTATAGTCATGTATATTAGTCTTTTGTTATTAATTGAAAGTTTAGAGCGTTAGTCTAGTAAGTGTTGGAGTAGTCGGAAACGTCAGTGTTATAAGTCGGAAAAGTGGGGTGTTATTAAAGGATACTGTAGGACAGGAAGTCATAGGTTTACGACGCAATCCTATGTCAAAAAAATATTTCTAGGACAGTTAAATATTACTATAGCGATTCAATAACTACTAATACATATATTTTAAATACCAATTTAAGAAAGTTTCCTATTATATCGAAAATGGAATTTAAATAATCATACTTTTTTAAATACGTTTTATACTTGAACAACTCTAACCATGCAGTTTTATAATGAGATGGTTGAAATTAAAAATTTAATTACAATCCTTCAAGAGGAAAAAGTGGGAAAGAAAAGTTAAGGAGATAAATCCCGGTTGACGATTGAGCACTTACTCCGGGAGACCTGGCCAGGCAGATAACTTTAATCAGGGTTTAGTCTTTATCCTAGGGCTTCTACTTTTTCTTTTTGACCTCGCCCGTTCTAGGAGAAAATATAACCCCTTCAAATCCATCAATTTCAAATTCCATTATCCGCATTGTTAAAAAAAAAAACTTATGGTATAAATAGTATTTGATATATATGTTGCTATATGTTTGCCCAAAATCGGCCTTGGTCTTGCACTATGCAAGATCAAGAACAAGATCGCCTAACTGCTTCAAGACCAATACCAACGAAGCTAAAAAAAAAATCGATTTTATTAATAAAAACTAAGAAAAAATAATTACTAATACCTGAAAATTAAAATTACTTTATGTGAAAAAACGGTATAATCAATATACTTTTCCATTTAACTAATCTACTTTTTCATTTGGACTTAGTTAAATTTCTTCTCTTTAAAAAATTAGAGTAATATTTCTATAGTTATAAGCTAACTTGAAGATTGTTAGGGGTAACTGCAAGACTGTTGCGAGACTCTTACGCAAGACCAAGATCTAGGCCAAGACCAAGACTTGTCTCCGTCTCGAATTTGGGTAACACTAGTTGCTATAGGTTAGGGATGACCATCGGTAGTAAAATATCGATATATTCCTTTCGATATTCGATATTTTACCATCGATAGGATCTACTTAGATATTATCGACTGCCGATAAAGATATCGATGAAGACCCTTCGATGATTAATTATTTTAGTTTCAAAATAAAAATTAAAACTATCGTTTTCGGAATTATATATATATTTATATATGAAGCTGTTATTAAAATATTAAACTCATCTTACTTGTTTCATATAAAATATAGTGCCTAGTACAGAAAAATATCGATAATTGGATAATATTGAGTATTGATAGGCATCTCTAAATACTGTTATTTAGCCTGTGTGGGATCTTTCTCACTCAGTAAACTCAATTTTCCCGAATTTGTTAGTTGAAACCTTCTCAAATCAAATGACGAATTGTCAAAGAAGTCTATGTTGGATGCAAATAAATTAGCATCTCGCTGAGTTCGATCTATTAGAAGGCATAATTGGTTGAATGGAAATTTCTGGAAAAAGGTGAAGATGGACAGAAAGTAGAAAATTCATTTTACTAAAGAGGGTTGAATAATTGGTATTTCCATTAATTAATTTAAATAGGAAAAACAATCATTTTAGATACGTCTATTTGCTAGAGAATCACTATTTGTATTGATATTCATAATTCCAAAATGTTTATAATATTGATTAAAATATCGACAATCGATATTTATTTTATTTATTTATTGTTACATTCCGCATCCATCCGAGCGGGTCATTAGCGGCTTTAGATGGAATCATATTAGGTGGACAAATTGACTGTCTTTTATAAATTCAAATACTTTTTGTATTTTCTCTTCTTCATTTGA